TTGAATGGAAATATGTTTTTTAAATGTACGATATATTAATGATTGTAGTTCTACTGATTATATAACAATTTACATTTACATCTTTGATGGTAGGAATTGTTTTATACATATCATAGTTACAAAACTACAATGTATAATAAATTATAGTACAAATCTGTTTTTTTAATTAATTGATTTTAAGTATTTTCTGTGCGTCTGAGACACAGGGAGTGATTTAACTAGAGTTAACGCTCATCTATTTATTACCAATTAAATTACAAATAGTCAATAAACCAATAAAATTCTGATAAAAATATATTTTTCGTAAAACACAAACAATATTCCGGTTTTCAATAGAAATCACGTATCAAAGGGAAGGACGTATAGATATACCGGTCTATTGTGTGCTTTAATTGATTCAAACAATTATTACAATTATAATTCAACGCAAAATTTATTGTTTAAATGTTTTCAAATGTTAGCCAAAGGAATGAACAAACAGATGAAAAATATTAAAAAGTTATTACAAATAATAATAAATAAATGAGATGTGTATCAAATTTGTTGAGATTATATTCAGTCAAATGAACACATATTTAAACAAAAAAATTTCAATCAAATAAATGGCAAATATTATGTAAATAACAATAAATTTAGTAAAACATAATCTAAAATAGACTCTAAAATAGCAAATGAATTAAACATTAAAACGCGTGAAAAGAGTCGGAGAATGAATATAAAAAATATGATAATTAAAAAACCAAATTAAGTAATGATTAAAAGCATTAATGGATTGGCAAATAATTTCGTGACTAAAAAAAAGAGTTGTATTGTTTTTACAATAAAAAACAAATCAGTTTTCATTTTAACAAATAATCCGTGATTTGAGACCAATTAGAATCCGGAATCAGTTTTCATATAAAATAACAACAATTTGTTTATAATATATATTCAATAATAATTAATAACAAGTATTATCACAGATCCTCCTCGTCGTCGTCTTCCAGTAGAAGAAGTGTCTCTTCCGGCCGTTGAAGACGTTTTGCGCGGTTTATAATGTCGTCGTCGAAAGGCTTAGAGAAGTCGTGCACATCTGGACCCAAGTGTGACCGCAAGTCGATGTCCAGTCCGTTGCCCAACGAGTCCCACACGATGTCCGGCGGCCGAGACTTACGCAATGATTTTCGGACATTTGTGCTGCAGATGAGGCAAACGCTGCCGAAGAATAAGACACCGAATCCGCCAAAAACATAGAGAATTACTAAACAAAACAAAAATAGTCCACAAAAAGAGTTTTAGATTCCAATAATGAGACAAATCTAATGAATGGCATTAATTAAGAAATCAATTAGTAATTCAATAGTAATTGGATTGCAAAACCCCTAACGATTACATTTAGGACATTACGGCTTCAAAAAAAAAGTAAACAAAACTGAATGCAAACTAACAATTAAACCACTTCTGAGTCGATGTGTCGTAATCTTCGGAATAAATGGGAGGAATGAGTAAATCCCAGACATTAGTGAGCGATCCATTGCTCGGGAACTGAGTTGTGGGAAACAATTGCAATACCCGTAACATCAATGGATAGAGATCTACATTAATGAAAGGCTTGGCGTGATTGTAGCCGGACTTGAATGCGGGTCCGCTGGC